AGCATAAGTGTAATTCGGCTACTAGATCGTTGGAAGAAGTGTTCAGTAGATAAAAAGAAAGAAACATGTCTTTACTTCGTGAAGACAAAATGGCGGCGGGGAAAAAAAATAGAGGGTTGCTGTAGGAGAGTTGGTTGCCAAATTTTCGCCAAAAAATCGCCAAGTTACCATAATGTAAAGATCAATCTTGTTTTTATTTTTGTAAAAAATAAACGTTTGATTTTATTTTTATTAAAAAAATTATTAAATTTAATGCCTAACCATTTTTTATCCTTCTTCCCTTAACCCCATTATTTACATGTTAAGATAGCCTCGCTTAGCGCTGTTTCGCATTACGCTCTACTTCGATGGAATGTATCCCCCGCGTTAAGCGGGGTCTTACTGTACATGGATAAAGTCAAGGGAGTGCGCAATGCCTAGTTTGTGCAATTTTGTGTTTTTTTTAAGTGGCAATAGGTCAATGTGTACATGGATACTGAATCTGTGCAATTCTTTGACTTGTAACTTTGTGTAGCGGCGAAACAAAGCCAAAATAACAAGTCAAAGAATTGCACAAACTCGGTATCAATGTACGGCGATTTTTGGCGGCACATGGATTATCCATAAATATACTTTTACCCAATTATGTAAATTACATATTACACCATGGTAAAAGTATAGTTTAAGGTACCCCTTGGCGAAACTCGGCGATTTTTGGTGGTACATGGATACCGATTTGTGCAATTCTTTTACTCGTTATTTTGGCTTGCGAAGCCAAAATAACAAGACAAACAATTGCACAAACTCTGTATCCATGTACACATCGACTTATTTTCACTTTAAAAAAAAATCCCTGAATTGCACAAAAATGGCATTGTGCACACCTTTGATTTTATCCATGTACACGTCGACCTATTTTCACTTTAAAAAAATCCCTGAATTCCACAAAAATTACATTGTGCACTCTTTTAACTTTACCCATGTACACGTCAAACTATTTTCACTTAAAAAAATGCATTGTGCGCTCCGTTTACTTTGTCCACGTATACATCGATACATTTTTCACTTAAAAAAGTCAAAGGAGCACCAAATTCTACAATATAGGCAAATAAAAAAATACATAATCTCAATAAAATACATTTTAAACCAAATAATAAAATTACATAAAAAAGGAAAACATGTTATGCATTTAAGCACTACCAAAAGCAAATATTCACTTACCATGATTTTTGAGTTTGCTTCGTACACCCAGAGCCACGTATAAATCAAAATATCAATCATACTCAAATTACTTTTTCAAACCAGGTACTCTTTCTGATCGAATGCTTCACATAATGACCATCTGAACCTTTCTTCCTACAAATCCATCTAAACGTTTTTTTACGTTCGACTAGACGCATATCCTTCCTACATACAGGACACTTATAATCGCTACTAAGTAAACCTTCATTTACACACCAGTCAATTAAAGCTCTTTTCCCCTTTCACTCCAAATCGTACAGAAACTTCAAATTAACCAATACACACCACAAAAATGCTTACAAAACATCCCATGATTCAAAAATTTCCCAGAATCATGCACCCGATTACGTCACAATAGGGTTTCCATAACATTCAACTACTCAGGCTACCACAACAACTTGGCGATAATACAAGGGGTACTTAAAGTCTACTCTACCCTACACTATCATCAATAGCAAAACAGTCCATAGCAGAAAAGGGAATATATTTTCAGTATGTTCTCCTTTAGGGTAACATTTACCAAGTTGAGTAGTTGTAAATAATTTTAAACATCCTCTAGCTATTTCATGCTGGTCCTTCCATACATTCTACTTCCTACTGACTTATGGATGAAGAATTTAGCAGTAATTTTGCTATATCGACTTTAGCAATGCATCGAGCAAATCGTGTTTCAATTACTTTAATTGTCAAAGACAGCCCTACAGCCAGCGTAAAAGGTGCAGCCCCAACAGGTGGCAAAATATTTAGAATTTAGAGAATAACTGAGCAGTAAAATTTTGAGAGATTAATGCAGACCCTGAACAGGAGTTCCGGGTTGGTGAGGGTTTTGACATCTTACATATGCAAGCAGCAGCAGAATTAAATCTCTAAAATTGACAAAACTAGGCTATTTCTAGTAACTGGTATAAATTCCTTTCTCTATAAATAACTTTATCTATGCTACATTTTAAGCTCATATTTCTCAGAACAATCACAAGAATTGTTAAGCTTCCTTCAGCCAGTTAAAGTATAGATTACATTGTTGTGGTACTTGCAAAATAGTTTACAAAGATAATTTGCAAGTACATGGATTATTATTTTTGTGGTAAAGTTGGTACAGTGCAACTCTAATTAACTGAACTCCGACTATCCGAATCACTTTCAGAATCAACGGAAGAACAGAAGGAAAAAGAAAAAGAAGCTCAAGATAAGGAAAGAAAAGAGACAGGAGAAGATGAGAATGACAAGTCACTTAAGGAATTAAGAAACATTCAGTACTTTTCCATTTCGCCGGTGAAACTCTCGCCAAGCAGACTTTATTGGCGACAACACACAGTATACACATAAAAAATATTAACACATATGTTAGTTCTAAGATATTTTTATTTTGAAGTAATAAGCATTTTAATATCGTTTAAAATTTTGTAAAAAGAAAATAAATTTGTAAAAACACATTAATTTGAGAATTTACTATGTTTTCATGCTACAACATCCACATTCGCCGCTTCATATCACATGACCCCAAGTGATCTCCTCTCCCATAACCTACGCTACAAAAATCGAATTCTCTCAGTAATTATCTACATTAATTTCAAGTTAAATTTTAATTTGGAATACAAGTTTAAATGCAAGAATTATTTCAATTCGTACGAATAGCTTACTTAGAAATTATGTAAAATCGCAGTGCTTTACTTCGCGCTAGTGCATTCTTATTAGAATTGATGAATTTAACCCTTGACTTTTCCTTTTCTATATTTTTACCTTCGAGTGAGCTGTGTGATTGCATCCTGATTGATTGAATTACTGCGAACGGCCTTAGGGCATAAAAATTATTAATTAAATAAAATTGAACTATCTGGTAAAAATTCTATGCTATTGTATGCCAGTATTGAAAGAAACAATCAATCTGATAAGAGATGGCTGCGACTTAATTTGAAAATGAGGCATAAAAGGTTACCAGGAAGGATATTCTGTTTGTCATCTGTTGTACCATTTTTGGCAACTTTATTACTTGCACCAACTAAATGGAAAAGTGCCTAACATTCTTTTAAAAATTCCTGGATGTTTAGGTTACTGCTGAGGATACAGCAGAATGAATAGTGTGCAATTCGTCACATCCTGAATTTCAAATTCTAAATGATGATGAACTTTTTGAAAGTGTGACAGAAGAAAGTGTCGAGGAAGAAGATGACCTTAATGTTGAAGCTGAAGCGGACATGGGACCATCATCTAGTGAAGCATTTGTCGGCGTCGACACTGCGTTGAAGTGGATGGAGCATCAGCCCAAGTGTGACAACATACGACTTTTCATTGTCAAGTGGATACACGACTTGGTTGCCCGAAAATGAATGAAAAAAGTCAAACAGCTTACTCTGACCGAGCTGTTCAGCAAGCAATGACTTTCAGCACTTGTAAGTACTGTACAGTATGCTATATAATATATACGTAAAAGTGTTGCCTTTTCATTTTAATTAAAACTTCTTTTTCTTTAAAAATAGTTTTTTCCTCCCATTTTCAGATAGAGTAATTAATTAAAGTGTATGTAGACCCTTTCTTCCGAAAAAATCCAATTATCTGAATTTTTGATTATCCGAATGGGGTTCAGTCGCAACTGATTCGAATAATTGGAGTTCTACTGTACTATAAGAATCTTGAAAGCCCAAAACATCTTTATAAATGTTTTCTAAACATAAAATATTGTGTAGTACACATCCTCAAGACATAACTTAAAATGCACCTCAAGTATTCAGAATTTGCCGCTGCTAGTTTACATTATGCCTAGACAGAGTTTAAACTCTCATTGAATCAATGCCACTCTTATTTAATGACTGTATTACCTAATGTTTGGCCCTTCTTACTTCATTATAATGCAAAAAAACCCTCAAAGTTATCAAAAAGAACACGTTTTTAAACACAGAACGTATTTTTATAGGCCATTAATGAATGCTGCTCTACATAGAACATGCAACTCAAAAAGAGTACTTTAAATGAGTTAAAAATTGACATAATGATTCACAAGAAAATACAAAGTAAATAGAAAGAAAGAAAAGATAGTAAATAACGATAGTCACAGTTTTTCTCATGGTACCACAATACTAGATGCAAAATATTTAAAAATTTCTAATGTCTTGCTAAATTAAAAATAATTTGTAACTGATGTTTAGTTCATAGTAAAAAGAAATTTTGGTTGTTTTGACATCCCTCACACAAGCAACAATCCTTGCACACATCCACATGTGTTTCAGTGCTCTAAAAAGATATTTCATTCGTTAATATTATTCAAATTAAACCAGACTAAATTCCATCTCGCTATTTAAAATGGCAATAGCATTCATAAATTGCTAAAATTTTCTTTTAGGTTCATCAAAGAAACACTTTTTTTACAGTGCATTATCACAAAAGTAAAGCCATTCTCCAACCATTTCAGCACTTTCCGCGCGCATGAAACCTGATGAAACAAATCCAACTGAACTTCATCCATTTTGCTCAGAAACCTCCCATCTAAAATCAAAATTATCCCAAAAGAAGTGCTGTATACTTCATAACGACGCATTAGAGAATTTTGCTTGGTATGTTTAAGATTCAAAATTAGCGCCTTGCCGCTTTGCAAATCCTACTTCGTTATAATAAATTAAATATTCCTAATGATAGTAGTATTTGCATATGATGTATCATACTTCTTACCGCCGCTGATATACAGCTTGCGGAAGCGTTTGTGAGAAGGTAGAAAATAAAAAATAATAACAGGAATTTAAAATATTTTTACCGTGCTCTGAAATTTGCATAAGAAAATTACTTACAATTTTTACAGTCTTTTTCTCGTGTTTATAGCTTTTCCGATCACTTTTTGACAATGTGGCAAAGCTAAGTTTAATACACATAAACAAAAAAAAACAAAAAATTTGCAACTTTATTTTACACATAGGGCTAGCGACTCTCATAAAACATAGCACAACCTAACTTATCTTTGATCGAAAGGTCTTCCTTCACTCGAATACCATCACAATACTATAACAACAAACATTGAATCATACCACGCCGAACCCATGCCGTAACATAAAAGTGTCAGCCAGCCGACTCGTTTAAGTTCTGCGCATGACGTCACTACCGAGGAGAAATCGAAAAAGCGCCATTCTCCCTCTGGCAACTTCGGTGTTAGTTTGGTTTTGGGTTTCCTTAAATCCAATGGAAGATTCAGAATATTTCAGATCTGGCTGCTATTTATGCGCGTATCATGTCCATCAAACTCTACTCAGAGAGCTCTCCTCGTCCGTGGGTCAGAGGTCCATTGGTAAAAATTTAATGCATGATAAGAATGTAGTAAAACTTCATTATTCCATTTATATTGCATTATAAAACACAGCATTCTTTATTCTGAATTGTACATTATTTATATTAGCATGTTCATAGTCACCTGTTGTTGTTATATTTCTGAAATGCTACACAGAGGCACGTCTCGAACAATTGCTTAAAAGATTTCAAGAATGATAATTAATTCCCATTTGTGATTATCGGCCAGGAGTATTGCAGCACATCCGCATATACCCATTTGTGATAATCAAATAATACTGATGTGTGTGTATTTTTTAATATGCTCAGAACTTTTGCCTTTCTTTCAAGTTTCACAGGAACTAATAGAAACTTTTATCTTCTTCTTACCTAAATTACATTGAAAATCTCAATTCGTGTAAAGACTCGGAAAAGGACGAAAACGGAATAAAAATAAGAAAAATCTCGATCCTCTTGACTCCAGTTATAACAGTCTGTCTTAAACTTTCGACGTTTAAGTAAAGGCAGTTTAAATTCTTTTCGTGTAGGAATCAAACTATGGTAAAAAATTCGTTGAAGTTTTCTCGATGGCGAGTTTCTTTAGAAGGTACAGAACTTCAAATTAGATGGTGACTTTGTGAGTACATTGTGCTTTCTCGTGGCTAAATATTTTTCCTCCCTTGTAACTTTTTGATAAATTACCCATGTTTTATCTATACTGATTTATTTAGTGGAGCACTTTGGGTTTAAAATCTGGTTTGTCTCATCCAATCTATAGCTGTTTTCAAAAATTAAAAACTTCACCCTATTTAAACACGTCATTGATTTAAGCTAAAATCTAGCTATACAAAATACACTGCCTTACAGATAAAATACAGTTAAGGAATAGAATTGTTTTTCAAAGCTCACCATTACAAAAATGTCAGTAAAGTTTAAATTCACAGTTCGTATGCATGACAGTAACGAAGTTTAAGAAAATATACGCAAAACCAACATCTACCACTTTGATTTTATAGAAATGTATACTTAGGTAAAAGTTGGAGAATAGATGCAACCATTGTAATTTTTATTCATGAGTGTTGATCTTCAGTTGTTATAAAAGTTTCGTGGACAATATCCAGGAGAATCTACCAATGTCAAGGAGAAGTCGTTTGCCCGATTCGTTGAGGTGGCGGGCGATGGGATGGATGGAAACAGGGCTGTCACAAGCTGATGCTGCTAGACGTCTTAACGTCTCTACTATGTCCAACGGCTATAGAATCAGTTTGAATCCGAGGATTCTGTGTCTAGAAGACATGTTCCAGGCTTAGCTAGAGTTGTAAGCTCATGGCAGATTATTACCAGAATCTCAGCTACTACAGTGCTCAGACGCCAGCACAATACCGGTCTGTATGCAGAACGACCAGTTGTTTGTGTCCCCTTGCCCCGAGGACACGAGTGCCCTTTTTGTTGTCAAAGAACACGTCTCCTGTACCATCCCACAACGGACGTCTTTTCTCTTCACAGACATGTCCAGGGTCACATTGGAGAGTGATTCAGGCCGTCAGCTTATCTGAAGGGAAACAATCCCACAATGTGGAAAGACACAGTTACAGAGTAGGGAATATGGTTTGGTTGGATCTTCGGTGGTCACACTGACCTGTATGTATTCCATGGAGGAACTTTGACAACTTTGAGATCTTTCATCAATATGTCAGCCCATATCCCGTGGCCGAAGAGTATTTATTAATTGACAATTTTATATCTGAGAATGATATTCCTTGGAATAAGTGCATTGCCGTATATACAGTGACGAAGCTCAGACTTCAGGAACACAATTCCGGTGTTATTTCTCAAATAAGGAAAATCGCACCTGAAACTAAATTTACCCTATGCCCCATTCATCGTGAAGCTTTAGTAGCCAAAGCATTCCTCGAAAATCTGAAAACCGTTTTGAATTAAGCTGTGAAAAGTTTTTATTTTATTTAAAGCCTAAATTTAAATTCAAGAATATTTACGATTTTATGCTAAGAGATGAGTAGTGAACATGAAAAGCTTTTGTTACATTCCAAAGTAAGGTGGTTATCCAGAAGCAAAGTTTTAAATCGTCTTTTCGAACTTCAAGCAGCAATTCAAATTTTCCTCAATGATTCAAAATTTGAATTACAAAATTGTTTATCTCGTGAATTATTGTTGGTGCGTTTAGCATATTTAGCTGATATTGTTGGGAAGTATAAATGAAATAAATTTAGGATTACAACAAAATGTTAATTTGTTTAGCATTAGAGATAAAATAAATGCAATGATAAAAAAAATCGAGCTAATAATCAAAGAATCGGATAATAATATTTTAAGCTCTTTACCACTTTTAGAAAGTTTTCTAACCGAAAGTAATTTGAGAATAAAAGAAGAATGAGCATCCGACATTAAAAATCGTTTTCTATTGATAAATAATTTCAACATGTATTTTCCCTTGGGTTATGAAAACGAAAATTGGATTAGAAATCCATTTTGTTCAAATGTGTCTGAAATTTTATCTCGTGATGAAAAGAAACAATTGATAGAAATTTCCTTTGATCGAATTCTAACTGAAGATTTCAAAAATAACCCTCTTGTTAACTTTTGGCTGAACCGGGAAAAGAACTTGAATTTCAAATAAAGCTATTAAATTCGTATTGCCCTTTTCCTCAACCTATTTGTAAGAACAAGGATTTCCTTACAAGTTATATTTGAAAAATTAATACAGAACAAAATTAAAAGTATATCCTAATTTACGGTTAAAACTAAGTGAAATAAGACCCTACATAAGGGAATTTATCTCTCTTAAACAGGCCCAAATTTCGCAACAAATGAAATTTTTATAATTAAAATTGTAGCCGTTTTAATCTAATATTTCTTATGTGTTCGTATTTAATACAAATAGGTTGTGCAGTTGTCAAAATATATATATTTTTAATATTTCTATTGAGAAATTGAAAAATAACCATTGTAAAATGCAGGGGTGGTACTGAAATTTTTTCAGTTTTTAATAAGTTAACGCATACCAGTTAAGTGGTATGCGTTAGTCAAAAGGTTGAGAACCGCTGATTTACAAAGTAATTTTATGCATGTATTTGCAGCCAGATGCCAGTAGTTTACTCATGTGGTAAATTGCGTTCTCCTTTCTTTTTAGCTTGAACTTAAGGATAAAATGGTTTTAAAACGTTTAATCTGAGTACTTTTTAAGTTTTCAGTGGCTGATGCTTGCTATGAACAATAGATCAAAGAAACGTGTTTTCAACAGGATTGATTTCCTCTACATTGAACAGGCGGCATCCTGGACTTGTTCAAAAATCATTAAGGTAATTTTTTTTTATCGCAAGAGGCTTCCAGAATAATATCTTTAGCGGAGGGCTTGCTACCCCCTACGGTGCTCTGATTTATATCCACTCAACTTCTTTTTACTCAGCTTCTATGCTAAAAATGAAGTCTGCAGGGATTAGTCAAAAACTACAGAAAAGCTGAAAACAGCGATATCAACTGCGATAGGGTAAGTTTCAATATGCCCCACTCAAGCCAGTTTTCTGAAACATCGAACTGATACTTTTCTATAGTCTCTTATAACGACCAACACTTTGAGAAATTCATCCTTTAACTTTCTTTATTTTAAAGTGTAAATCCTGAAGATTTCAAATAAAAATTTATCCGTTCAGTTTTTTCATTACGAAAATTCTGCGAACCAGTCTGTATTTTAAAACGGTGTTTCTTGAAGTATTCCAAAGTTGGAAGTTCTCAGTCGTTTCTTCTTTGAAAATTATTTCTAATTTTCGGCTCGGTAATTGATATAGATGAATTGAACTAAAACTCCGTCTAGGCAAATGCTTGAAAAATTAAATTTTTTATAATATTTGAACTTAAGATGTAATAATTTTCTTCTTGTATACATATTACATTATTAAGAGTAAGTATAGAAATAGACAAATATATTGGCATTAATAATTTTTTACATGTTCGCAGAGATATTATTTTTATAAACATCTATATGTGCGTATGGGTATGCTTGTGCGAGTATGGCAATACTGTATACAAATCAAAAGCAAAAGTGCCTAAATTTTATTCCCTAAGGGTATAATGTATAATTTTACTCTACTCTTTTAAAACCACATTTGTCTGTGCGGTATGGATGACGTCTTACCATCTATGTATAGTAAATACAAACTCAAAGAAAGTTTTAATAAATTAATTATACGTCTGGCTGACGGTTACAGAGAACCGATGCAGTAACAGAAATCAAGTCTGCGACATGCAGAACAACTGCTCCAGTCAAATTAAAGTAATGTTACGAAATTTGTGCATATGTAAATAATTTGAGTGAAATTATATGTGAAATTGTAGTAATTTTTGTATAATGTTACATGAATACCTAAAGAGGTGATGCTTTGCCGGAAAAGTAAGAATACAAGAGGCAAGTGTATTTAACATTGAGTAACTGGCTATCGCGCTAAATTGGCGAGATATTGCCCTTGGGGTTTATCTGAGCTAACGGAGTCAGTTCCATGTGTCGACTAGCTCCGCTCCGCTATGCCTGCAGTTCAGATTTTTCAACTTGCTGCCCTATAGGGAAAGCCTGGTTTTGGAGATCGGTTAGCTGGTTCCCGAAAAAGCCCACTTACGAAGCGCACACAAAAAGCCAAAAAATAAAAAAAAAAAAAAAAAACCCATGAGATTGCCCCACGCGACAATACCCCATAATAAGGCGCACATTGAAAAGCCCACACTGATAAGCCCACGTTGACAAGACCACATGATTAAACCCATAGAGAGAAGCACTCTGAGAAAA